CAAAAAAAAAACCCCGGGTAAATGTATATCAAAAAAAAAAAAAAAAAAAAAAAAAAAAATATATATATATATATATATATAAAGAAATTTAGCATGAAGGCTATTTAAATACATTGTTTGTTTTGTTTTGTTGTATTATGACAATTATGCATATTTCACCACAGTTCTTATTACTATAATAGAAAAAAAATCAATTTGTCATTACCTTGTGTATATCTATCTATCATCTGTCTATCTATTTATCTGTCTATCTATCTATCTATCTATCATCTGTCTATCTATCTGTCTGTCTATCTATCTATCATCTGTCGATCTATCTATCATCTGTCTATCTGTCTATCTATCTATCTATCATCTGTCTATCTATCATCTGTCTATATCATCTGTCTATCTATCTATCTATCTATCTATCATCTATCTATCTGTCCATCTGTCTATCTATCTATCTATCTATCATCTGTCTATCTATCTATCATCTGTCTATCTATCTATCTATCATCTGTCTGTCTATCTATCTATCATCTGTCTATCTATCTATCTATCATCTGTCTGTCTATCTATCTATCTATCATCTGTCTATCTATCATCTGTCTATCTATCATCTATCTATCTATCATCTGTCTATCTATCTATCTATCTATCATCTGTCTATCTATCTGTCTGTCTATCTATCTATCATCTGTCGATCTATCTATCATCTGTCTATCTGTCTATCTATCTATCTATCATCTGTCTATCTATCATCTGTCTATATCATCTGTCTATCTATCTATCTATCTATCTATCTATCTATCTATCTATCTGTCTATCTGTCTATCTATCTATCATCTGTCTATCTATCTATCTATCTATCTATCTATCTATCTATATCTATCATCTATCATCTATCTATCTATCATCTGTCTATCTATCATCTGTCTATCTATCTATCTATCTATCTATCTATCTATCTATCTATCTATCTATCTATCTATCTATCTATCTATCTATCTATCTATCTATCTATCTATGTCTCTCTGTCTATAAAATTCAATTGCAACAAATAACAAAATAACCTTTTTTATGGGCTAATTATTTCTGCTAAAAAAAATCATTTTGTGTTCCATGGAGGAGAGAGAGAGTGAATGTATTCTGAAAAAAATCTGGAAAAAATGGCCAAATTATCCTATATTATTTATATTATTAGAAGTTTAGAATTATTGTAATTTAAAGTTTTAGGGGAAAAGGGATCTTATACTCAGCAAGGCTGCATTAAATAGAATACATAAATATGTTTTAATTTAAGCTGATTGAATATATACACTTGTATGTGTTAGATAATAATAGTAATATATTTATTATAAATGCTGTGTTGGTACTGTATAACAATCACCATTGAGAATTAGAATTATTCTATTCTATTCTATTCTATTCTAAAGCTGCAAAAAAAAGACAGAAAAAATAGATTATCTCGACCCATTACAGTAAGTAATTAACATTTGAATATATATATATGTATATATATGTATATTGCTGCTTAATATTTATTTGTGGAAACAAAAATAGATTGAATTATTAATCATATTTGTTGCTGCTTAATGTTTGTCTGTTTGTTTGTGGAAACACTACTGCATACTTTTTGTGATACACTATCATTTAAACTTTGAGGTAAAATAGAAAAATGAAAGAAATTAATAATTTATTCAGTGAGAATGCATTAAATTGATCAAAAGTGACAAAACAATGTTTTTAATGTTACAAACGATCTTTGTTTTCAAATAAATGCTGTTCATTTCAATTTTCTGTTAATCAAGAAAATACTGAAAAAATGTTAATTACCAAAAACACCGTTAATAATTGATAATGATGGAGCAGCAAATCAGTATATTAGAATGATTTCTGAAGGATCATGTGACACTGAAGACTGGAGTAATGATGCTGAAAATACAGCTTTGATCACAGCAATAAATTATGTTTATATATATATATATATAATTTTTTTTTAAGTGAACTGTATGTTTTAAAAAAGGATTACTAATACAGGCCACTAGAGCGCAGCATGATAACTGAGCTCAGTCTGCATCATAGAGCACTGTAATGCTCTTCTGTATGTGTTTAAGCAGAGCCTGTTCAATCATCAGGTGAAGGTAACCGTGGCTCAGTGGTTTGTGTGTTTCTGTGTGCTCCATCCTTTCTATGCTTTGGGTAGGCAAGTTATTTTGTCATGCAGGATGTTTTAATGTGTGGAATCCATCAGTGTGGCCGTGTGCACTTGTCCTACACATCGCTGAATATCCTCCTGAAGTTTCCACACCTGGCCTCTCAATGCAGAACAGCTGCATCATAATCGCTGCGGCTTCCTGCTCTGTGACACGGGCCTCTTAATAGACGCATGAAATCATGGTGAAATATTTATCATCTCTGGCAAACATTCTCTTTTAAGAAGAAACTTTCTTTTATGTTTGGCCGCAAATGTCAAAACAGACAGAAACGCGGCATCATCCCATTGTCGTTACTCGGCTGAATGCATTAATTATTGATGGATAAAAGTATGAAGCGGTGACATGAAATGGCACAGTGTGACAGCGGAGTCCTGCAGTGGGACATGCTCTTCTCCAAAACCATTTCCAACACAATATATAATAATATTCATCAGAATGGTATTATTTCATTAGAATTACATACAGTTTTTATGATCTCATATTATTTAAGAGACTGCTTAGGAATTGTGCCTTTGTATTTCCAACACAGGGTAATAGGTCATAGGAATTTATTAAAGGGGTCATATGATGTTGCTAAAAAGTACATTATTTTGTGTATTTGGTGTAATGAAATGTGTTTATGCGGTTTAAGGTTAAAAAAACACATTATTTTCCACATATAGATAGATAGATAGATATACAGACAGATATTGTCACTTTTGATCAATTTAATGCATCCTTGCTAAAAAAAAATAAGTATTAATTTATTTAAAGGGGTCCTATTATGCTTTTTCACTTTTTCAACTTTAGTTAGTTTGTAATGTTGCTGTTTGAGCATAAAAAAGATCTACAAAGTTCAAAGTCCACTTCAAAAGGAGATATTTTATTTAACAGAAATTTTCAAAAAGTACAACGAACGACTCGTTTTGGACTACAACGCATATTTTCGGGGATTTGTGATATCGCAAATATCGACGAATGGGACGAGACCTGGTTGAGCTGCACTAGAGAAGGCAACGAGTGTTATCACTATGTCAGAGACACGCTAGCTTTCCCAAGGCAGACGAACTTAGAGTGATTACAATCTTCCAGGTTTAAATCCATTAAATCAAATTTGATTTTGATGCAATATTTACACTAAAGCTCTCAAGCGGCTATGGTAAGGGGCATAACATTTCCCGACCAGGCGCCGAGTGCTGCCAATCACAACACACACTGGCCCAGCTAACCAATCACAGCACATTTTGTACGGCCTTCATTTGATACAGGCAGGGTCGTATTTACCTCTTTTCGTGACATAGGCAAAACACATTTTTGGGCCCCCTTCCCTATTAATATAATAGACCTAATATTACCACCCAAGCAAACAAAAATATGTCTTAACCAGTGGAAACCGTTGCAGTGTTTTCTATCACAATAAGCGCTTGCATTCAGTCAAAAATCGAATGTAGTTCTTAATTTGTTTGAGAGCTGAGAAAGACCATTCCATTAATGGGCGCGGCGACGTGGCCACATAACCACTCTGGGAGTGCATTATTTCTCTAATAATTTTAACGGCCTGGAGTCACAACCTCACATCAAGACATTGTTCAGATGATTTGTTTCAAGACATTTGACATGTTTCCGTCCTGAAATCTTGTGTGGGTTGAACTAATTTTTTAGCACATCTTTCCAAACCTTCCGTTGCAAAGTCCAAAACGTCATTTTAGAGCTGATAACAGAGGCTTGAGATATGCAGGCTAACGCAGTTATTAATGCAGTCTAATGCAGTTATTAGAGAGAGGGCGAGAGAGAGATCAAGTGTGTGTGAATACCATAGACTGTAAAAAAAAAAACATGGATGTAGTGTCCGTGACGTCACTCGTAGGTTTCAGAAGTGCATTTTTGAAGCCTAAAGTGGGCGGAGCCGACCGCCGCCATCTTGGCAGCGGGTCACTCCCGGATAATCGAAAATGGGCAAAAAGGTGGGACGTGGGTGAAGCTGAGGTGCCCAAGCGGCAACCTCCCGCTCCTCTCGTGAAGCCAACACGGAAGTAACTTAAACTGTAATTCATCAACTGGCCACCTGAGGCTGCCTGCAAAAGGGCGTCAATCCCGTAGACTCCCTATGTTAAAATGCCCAACTTTACCGCAGAAAAAAAACATGTTTACAGCCTGGTTCAAAAAATTATTTTGGTCTATATAGCTAATTTTGCCCTTCGTGAATTTTTTTATAACTCATCCGTTTAAATTATATTAAGCCTTAAAGTTCTGCATAATTAAGGGTGTGGCCACTTGAGTGACAGGTGGATTGCCGCTGCTGTCACCATATTAGGGAGCGTGGTTTCAGCAACCTGCTCCCGCCTCTTTGCCCATTTTCGATTATCTGGGAGTGACGCTCGGTGACGCGCTGCCAAGATGGCGACGGCCGCCTCCGCCCACTTTGA